GCCCCATTCTCACTCGACAAGGCTCAAAAGAAAGTGTTATGCGAGTGGGTAAGGAAATTGAAATTTCCCGATGGTTATGCTTCTAATTTGAGTAGATGTGTAGATTTACAGACATGTAAGCTTCATGGTTAAAGAGCCACGACTGTCATGTCTTCATGGAGATATTGTTTCCAGTTGCTTTGAAGGAATTGCTCCCGCTCCATGTTTGGAAATCTATTACTCATATTAGTCTTTTCTTCCATGATATTTTTTGTTCCACCATCAAATTGAGTGATATGGAAAGATTGGAACACAACATTGCAGAAATTCTTTGTAAGCTCGAGAAGATATTTCCACCCGCGTTCTTCAACTCTATGGAACACTTACCAGTTCACTTGCCTTATGAAGCTAGGTTATGTGGTCCTGTCCAATATTGTTGGATGTATCCGTTTGAAAGGTTTTAGCTCCTACAAACTCATAGCTGCCATTTTCATTTATACACCTATAATTGTTTGCAAAACATATACCTTATTCAATATTTTTTATTATAGGTTCCTTAATAATTTGAAACGTAAAATTGGCAATAAGGCTCGTGTGGAAGGTTCTATCTGCAATGCATATCTAATGGAAGAGATAGGTTACTTTTGCTCTAACTACTTCCAACAAGGAGTGGATACCAAAACACGTGACTTAGGTCGTAATGTGCATGATGATGTTGAAAACACTTTGGATGATAGTGTTCAAGAACTGTTTAGGGTTGATCATGGACATGCTTCTACTGGTGGAGTTCATCGCTTTTTGGATGAAAAAGAACTACAACGTGCTCATTTATATGTTTTCGGAAATAGTGGCATTCTGGAACCATATGAGAGGTATTAAATTTATATATTATCACACTCATTAAGATTTCATTGAATTTTGCATCGTATCCAATGTCGACCACCTTCATTAATACTCTTTCTCTAGTTATATGGAAGGGGGTTTGAGGACCACATTGTTCAAATGCAACCCACTATTCGCAAAGAAGATGTGTTGATTCAACATGAAGCTGAATTCCTCGAGTGGCTTAGGTTGAAAGTGAGTATGATACGCATTTGACATCAACACGTTTTCTTACTTTGTTGCTATAACTTCACGACATATATCAATTTAATATAATTATGCCATATGACCAGGTGATTCAAGAAAATCCAAATGATGAAATATTGTTTGCTTTGGCTATGGGCCCATCTAAGCGAGTGCGTACTTGGAGCTAATTCTATGTGAACAGATACAAATTTCAAACTTATGGCCATGGAAAACATAAGTCTACAATGAATTATGGAGTAAGCGTATCCAATGAAGATGGTTGTGATTATTTTGGGTTTCTATAGGATATCATTGAGTTGGAGTTCACTGGTGCCCTACGGACTTATAAGACTGTTCTTTTTAAGTGCAGTTGGATGGACTCCACTAGGGGTATGAACATTGATTAATACAAGCTTGTTGAAGTGAATCATACCAAAAAATACCCCAAGTACGATCCATTTGTGCTTTCTCACCAAGCCAACCAAGTCTACTATGCACCTTACCCAAGTCTGAAAAGAGACAAGTCTCAATGGTGGGCAGCGTTCAAGACAAAGGCAAGGTCTGTTGTTGATGCACCAGTTGACGAAGACTTTTTACAAGAAACCAATGCTGACATTCCAACTCTTTGTGCTCCGGATGACATTCCGGACTATGAAGGTGATGAAGATGGATTTGGAGATTTGGATACTGAAAATGAAGTGCTGCCCGATGCCCCTCCAGATGAGTCTAGTTTCGAATCTACTGATAGTGAGGACGAGGATGAGGATGACGGATTTTGGGATGACGATACCGATGATGATCTTAGTGGGGAGGGTGATTCAACTGAGATTTAGGATATTGATTGTAACCTTGTTTTAACTTTATAATTATGAAATCTTAATGGATTTTAATTTATTTTAAAAGACCATCATATTTATAATGTGATATACTTGTGTAAATATGTTATTATTTATATTTTGCAAAGCTAAGGTTATGTGTGACAGTAGCTTATAGATCGTGATATAACATGATTATATGATTTTTACCGATGTTTATAATGTTTTTCTTATTGTAGGTTGTCATGGCTGGTGGTGGTCGTCGGAAGCTGGGACATGCCACCCCGAGAGAACTGTTTCCTTCGACAAGCCATGCAAATACGGAAACTTCTCAAGAAGTTACCCCATCCCCTCATTCATATGTAGATGGTTCTGGGACATCTACTCAGGTTCCTTAGACGCAAGACGGTAACTCTCCCATGGGTGAGGTACATACCCCGTTGCGAGAAGGAATTTTCACCCTACAGGGTTATGGTAAGTTATTCATGGTTATCTTAATTTGCATTCCAACTTGAACAATCTAGGTTAGATTTGTTTGTAATGACTTCATTTGTTTGCTAATTGGTACTAAGGTTCGATGATAACACCGTGAGCACCTCCATTACAAATATTTTCAACCACATTGGCGCAAACCATGGCTTAACTATGAAATGGTTTACGAGGTTACTAAGACCCATTGGTGGAACTCGTTTACGGTATTATAAAACCCCCAAGTTTGGATTACTCATCTAACTTTGGTGTTTGTTGGTTACTTATTACAATAAATTATTATACATTTTATTTTTCTTGTTTGCAGAAACAATACCTTTGGAATGTTGATCTCGACACCCTTGTGAAGGAGTATGAAAAGAAGGCACATAAGAGGTTGAAAAAGATTACATACAATGTTTCGGTTAGAAACAAGTCAGTTCCCAAATGGATGGGACAGTGTATGTTTGAGCAAATTATGGCGAAAAGAAAGGATCCGGTTTTTCTGGAGAGGTCATAGAAAGAAAAAAATAACAGGAGGGGCGGCTCCCTGTCTAATCCAATTGAGTCATCACACTTCCAAGGTTCTATCTCTGCGTCAAAGCATGCAAAGAAAATGGTAATACTTAATGGTATATAATGATAATGATAAATTTTAGTAGTTACACACACTAAGAATTTAAGGAGTAATTTAATTTGTGCAGGCTCAGAAAGCCGGTGGAGTGCTTCCAACTGCCCCTGAGGTATTCCTAAAGGCACATTTCAAGGAAGTTCTACGAAAAGGAAAAGTTGCGGCTAACAAGAGGGCACAACAAATCTCGGTAACACATCTAACTTTGGAAACTAATGAAATTATTTTTTAAGGAAAAAAGCAAAACATAGGCACTTATACTTGTGATTTGAAACTTGACGCACCTAAATTTGGAAACTAATGTGTTATTTGAATGACAAACTCTTAGAATATATAAAAAACAAAGAAAATTGGTAAGTTAGATTTAAGCCATTTTAGTCTAGTTATGACCCTATAGCCTTGTAAATGCTTGAAAATGTGTATGTTTTAGCAATTTTAACCTATAAACATGTTTAATATGATAAATATGAGTTGTTTGATTGATAAAATCTTAAAATATAGCATAAACAAAGAAAATGACTAAGTTAGAATGTCATTTATGCCATTTTAGCCTAGTTATTACCCTATAGCCTTATAAATGCTTGAAAATGTGTATGTTTTAGCAATTAGAACCTATAAACATGTTTTTTATGCTAAATATGAGTTGTTTGATTGACAAATTCTTAGAATATAGCAAAAACAAAGAAAATGGGTAAGTTAGAATGCCATTTAAGCCATTTTAGCCTAGTTATGACCTTATAGCCTTATAAATGCTTGAAAATGTGTATGTTATAGCAATTTGAACCTATAAACATGTTTAATATGATAAATATGAGTTTTTTTATTGATAAAATATTAGAATATAGCATAAACAAAGAAAATGGCTAAGTTAGAATGCCATTTAACCCATTTTTAGCCTAGTTATGACCCTATAGCCTTATAAATGCTTGATAATGTGTATGTTTTAGCAATTGGAACCTATAAACATGTTTAATATGATAAATATGAGTTGTTTGAATGATAAAATCTTAGAATATAGCATAAACAAAGAAAATGGCTAAGTTAGAATGCCATTTATGCCATTTTAGCCTAGTTATGACCCTATAGCCTTGTAAATGCTTGAAAATGTGTATGTTTTAGCAATTTGAACCTATAAACATGTTTAATATGATAAATATGAGTTGTTTGATTGATAAAATCTTAGAATGTAGCATAAACAAAGAAAATGGCTAAGTTAGAATGCCATTTAAGCCATTTTAGCTTAGTTATGACTCTATAGCTTTATAAATGCTTGAAAATTTGTATGTTTTAGCAATTTGAACCTATAAACATGTTTTTTATGCTAAATAAGAGTGGTTTGATTGACAAATTCTTAGAATATAGCAAAAATAAAGAAAATGGGTAAGTTAGAATGCCATTTAAGCCATTTTAACTTAGTTATGAACTTATAGCCTTATAAATGCTTGAAAATATGTATGTTTTGGCAATTTGAACCTATAAACATGTTATGTATGCTAAATATGAGTTGTTTGATTGACAAATTTTTAGAATATAGCAAAAACAAAGAAAATGGGCAAGTTAGAATGCCATTTAAGCCATTTTAGCCTAGTTATGACCCTATAGCCTTATAAATGCTTGAAAATATGTATGTTTTAGCAATTTGAACCTATAAACATGTTTAACATGATAAATATGATTTGTTTGATTGATAAAATCTTAAAATATAGCATAAACAAAGAAAATGGCTAAGTTAGAATGTCATTTATGCCATTTTAGCCTAGTTATGACTCTATAGCCTTATAAATGCTTGAAAATTTGTATGTTTTAGCAATTTGAATCTATAAATATGTTTTGTATGCTAAATATGAGTTGTTTGATTAACAAATTCTTAGAATATAGCATAAACAAAGAAAATAGGTAAGTTAGAAGGCCATTTCACTAGTAGAAAAATACAAAAAGGCACCGCTCAATGGCCACCGGTTTTCGAAAACCGGTGGGGTAAAAAATGGGCGGGATTAGGCATATTTATATTGCCACCGGTTCAAACCGAACCGGTGGCATAAATGTTAAAGGCCACCGGTTTTGAACCGGTGGAAATTCTTTTTATAAAAAACCCGGTCATATTTTCTTTTTCATATATAAACCCCTTTTACTTCCCAAACCCTAGCCTCTTCTTCTCTTCTCTGATCTCGTCCCCTCCCTCATCTTCTCTCTCTTCTCTCATTCTCTGATCTCTTCTCTTGTCCCCTCCCTCCCTCTTCTCTTTCCTCTCTTTAGATCTCTTCTCTCGTACCGCCGTTCATTCCACCCCGCCACCGTTCTTTCCTCTATCATTCTTCTCCACCTTACCGTCGTTCATTCCACATTGCCGCCGCCGTTCTTTCATTTCTCTCTTTTGCGACGAGGTGAGGGGTCTATTTCTTCACCGGCGCCACATCTTTGCAGTGGTGGTGGATCTCTTCACGAAGGTATGTGCTCTTCGCCTCTTCGATTTAAAATATAGGGTTTCTGATTTTTATTTAACTTTTTTTTTTGTGATTTTTATGTTGCGATGAGGTCGATGAACATGGTGAACATGTTGTTCTCGAGTCCTCCAAGGTTATGATGGTTACAGTGGTCGTGATCCATCTCTCTATCTCTTCTCGAGTCCTCTGCTTTAGATCTTGGTTATTGGTATGTATTTACTTTCCTTTTTTTGATTGTTCATTAGATTTATTTTTTAATTGCTAGGGTTTTTGTTGTCTGTAAATGCTTGTTTAATTTTCTTAGTGATGGATATTTGGTTGCATGAATGTAAGGGTTTGCGTGATTGTATTGTGTATAATGTTGGAGGTGATTACTACACAAAATTTGGCTGCCCATATTGATGTTTGTTTGATGGCTACTGTTTATACTAATAAAAACAACATTAATCGGTGTAAAATTAGGGTATTATTTGATTGTGGTTGTTTTGGATGTAATAATGATGATGATTTTGCTACTTGATAATCTGATCAAGTTGAAAAAAGAATGTGAGGTAAGGATTGTTTTTACATTTTAAAGATATAGCACTATATGATAAGATCTAGGAAAATTCAAACTGTTTTGGTGTGATTGAACATGAGTTGAGATTAGGGATTTTGAAAAGCTGTAATTAAACTTGACATTTAAATAACAAAAACTGATGCGTGAATGTATATTGAGGGAGTTACCTTTGCTAAGTTTAATTTACGATAGATTGATTTTCAGTGAAATTGGTTTTTATTTGATGAAACAGAAAAATGTGAAGCTATTTTTAATACTGCTATAGCTTAAATCAGTTCAATTCTGCGCTAGTTGATGTACCCGAGCTGAAACTCGGGTGTCTTAGAAGCAGGACTCCTGTGATTGTTAATTTCTGATAAAAAAGAAATGCTTGGTGTTGTCTTGTGTTTTCTTTTGAATGTAATGTGTTTAATTTACTAATTTTTTTGAGTTGATTTATATTCATCAACTTTTGTGTTTCATTGCAGTGATATGGATTCAACAATGCTGGCTTGCATTGCGTTCTCCTGCCCCAATCTAGAAACCATGGAGATCTCTATGTCAGAGTCATCAATTAACCGTATATCTGGGTATATAAACCCTTTTCCTGTTTGATTTAGTCCATTTTGGTCTAAAAAATTCTTGTATAGGAAACCATGTTAGTTTAACGTTTCAGTTTGTGGCTCTAGTATCACTTGTTTGTGAAATGAGCTCCTCATTTTGCTCTCTATATCTTTGTGATATTGGATGATTGAACATTAGAAGATGAATTTGAATACTTGACATCTTAATTTAGGAAATTGTGCAAATATGTTTTAAAAGGATAGATGAGTTCAAACTCTTCTAGTAGACAGGAAACTTATGTAATGCAGTGAACTCTTTATGTGGCTCTCTATTTGAAATGACTTTGCAAGGCTGATTATTGTTTGTGGTGGTCTGAGCAACTTAACTGGTAGTTGATAGCTTACTCTCAGGCAGACTAGCTGCTAACTCATTGTTTAAATGTTGAGAGGATTTTATGTATTGGAATCCATTTACTTGTTGGTTTGGCTTTAGTACTTTTTTCTTTCACTGGATAATTCTTGCCAAATTTCCGCAGAAATGTATTAAATTGAGCCAAGTTTTACTCCTAGGAATGTCTAACCCTTCTCTGTGGTTTTATTTTCTTGAATTAAAGCTGAACTGAAATTCTGTAATTGATTTCCTGTCTATGATTTTCTTGACTTTCTGTATTAACCCTGTTTCTGGTAGGCAGTCATCTAGAGATGTGTAAATTCGATGTATTCAGCGATGATAGACACCCAACAGCCTTGCGTTGTTGGTCCAATAAACTTGTTACTATATATGTAAACTTATGCCTGATACTTTTGTAGTAAACTAATAATTTACCTGTGTTTTAAATAACCTTGCCTGTAATTTAATCATTACAAATTCTGTGCTTTAGATCTGTATTAGCCATTAGCTGAGAATTGAACTAATGAGTTATCTTTGTTTGGGATATAATCTTTCACTATGACTGGGAGAGAACCTGAGTAAATTAAATTAGCTATTGCTGTAGGAAAATTTCTCAACTCCTAAGGCTAGAGAAATCTCGTTGTTGATGAATTAAGGTTACAAATACCCCTACTGTTTTGATTGATGATGTTGCGGATTTGTCGATTGGGCTTAGCTTGCTGTATTGCTTTGCTTTGGTGTTAATTCTATGATTGTTGGGTTATTAATTCTATGATTGTTGGGTTATTAGTTCTATGATTGTGTTGAAGTGGGATTAATTTGCTTTGGTGTAATTTGAGTAGAAAGGAACTAATTTCAAAGTGGATTTTGAAATAGGTTTTGATTATATTGTTTGGGGGTGGTAATTTGAGTAGAAAGGGAGCCAATATCACATTGAATTGTTATGCTTGGTGTAATTTGGCTCTCTTGAAATTGAATTAGTATTGCTCTGCTTGTTGTCTTTGATTAATACACACATCGAGATCTCTTATCTTTGTTTGTTGATGCAGGTGGCTGTTGGAAGATGTTATCTATATGCAAGGCTGCTGCTGTCTCGCCAAGGCTCGCTGTTGCAGTTGCTGCCTCGCCACGTGTTACATTGGTGATTTTGTGTGACTTGTATTTAACAGTGACTTGTATTTTTTTTTTTGGACCAAAATTGTAATATTACAGCCTTATTTTAATGAAAATATGTAAGTTTATATATATGTTAGTGTTTATATATCAATTTAATTGAAAAAAATGCAAAAAAAAAAAAACAAATTTATTTTTTTTGCCCATTATTGGCACCGGTTTTGAACAGAACCGGTGCCAAAAATCCCTTTAAAAAAAGCGGGAATGGGTTTTTGCCACCGGTTTTGAACCGGTGGCCTTTCTTGAGGTTATTGCCACCCCCCAAATGACCACCGGTTCAAAACCGGTGGCTTAGGGGAGTTTTGAACCGGTGGCTAAGTGGTTTTTTCGCCTAGTGTTTAAGCCATTTTAGCCAAGTTGTAAACCTATAGCCTTGTAAATGCTTGAAAATGTGTATTTTTTAGCAATTTGAACATATAAAAATGTTTAATATGCTAAATATGAGTTGTTTGATTTTAGGAAGCCTACCAAAAGAAGCTTGACGAGTCTTCCACTCAAGAAGGGTCACAACCGGACCCTAACCTGCTATATTGGGAGGTCATTGGTGGTAGGAAAAAGGGTGTAGTGAAGGGCCTAGGTGCAAGTGCTAGTTTGTTTTACAGCCCCTCTTCCAAGAAAGGCTTGCAATCGTACAATCCTTCTATAGCTTCACAGTTGGAGGAACGTGTGCAAGCCGAGGTTGCCGAGCGAATAGAGGAGGCAAAAGTGCAAATGCAGGCACAGATGGAGGCACAGTTTGGTACGCAATTGCAGGAGGCATTGAAGAAGGAGCGGGAGGAGGCGGCAATTGAGAGTAAGCGAATGATGGAGACAATGTTTTAGAACTTGTTCTCTAACTTTTCAGGTGGTCCTCCATTTCAGACCCGGACATGAGTGGTGGTGGGCTTGGTCACCAGACTCCGGTGTCGTAGTTTTTATTCATAAAGCTCTTAGATTAGTATTGTTGATATAGGGCTTAGTATTTTTTTAGGAAATATAGGCCTTAGGTTTTTTTTGGGAATATAGGCCTTAGGTTTTTTTTGAGGGGGGGATATAGGCCATTTCGTTATTTTTTTGGGGAATATAGGCCTTAAATTGGTATTATATTGTCACATGTTGGCCTTATCCATTTTTTGAATGAACATAGGCCATTACTTATTCATATACGCCTAACTTAGTTTTTAAGTTAAGCTTATAAAACTATTACTAACTAATTACTATTATTATTAACTTGAACATTGTTATTGTATGTATTTTTCGAAGTTGGACTTTTTAATTATTAATATTATTATTTATATGAATTATGCATTTTATTTTTATTTTTTATTAATTTTAAAATTAATTCATATGATAACAGGTTATAAGTTTAGGTTAGGATGGCATCGATAATGCAAATTGTAATTATATGAAAATTGCATTATTGTCATATCATATTTGCGACCGTCTGTACCTGTCGCAGATTTAATAATTGCGACCGTCTCGAACAGTCGCAATTCTCTGAGAAATTGCGACCGTTTAGCTGCCTGTCGTAATTTTCTAAATATTGCGACCGCCTGTTGCCCTGTTGCAGTTCCCAGGATTTTGCGACCGCCTAAGGCAGTCGTAATTTTCTGAAAATTGCGAGGGCTAGGCCCTGTCGCAGATCCCAGGATTTTGCGACCGTATTAGGAGGTCGTAATTTTTAATAATTGCGACCGCTCTGCCTGTCGCAAATAACTAATTACGTCAACTTAAAAAACGGTCGTTGAAAATACGAAAAACGGTTGCAATTTGATTTGCGACCGCCAAGTGGACGCAATTTTTTGTTTTTGCGACCAGATAAATAACGACTGCGCCTTTGCGACCGGTGACGGTCGCAATTGCCAATTGCGACCGTTTTCCATACAATTTGCGACCGGCACTGGCGGTCGCAATTCACTGGTTTTTTAGTAGTAACTGATTAGTATGTATTATAAATGTATGTTTTACCCTTAAACTACTTCCTTCGCTCCAAAAAATATTATAATATAAAAAATAAATTTATATGATAATTTTTTAAAATAATAATCTAATAATTTTTGTAATTATAATTATAATTCAATTTGTATTTTATCGAAAATAAAACTCTAAAATAACAAATTATCTTAAAATTCTATCCAAATAGAATTCTAAACTAACTTTTTTTATTTATCTTATAATGGCTATTTAAATATATCCAATGTGGCACGACACTTGGTGACACTTGGCGAAAAGTTGGAACGCCAAGTGTCACTGCCTCGTGACCTGACCAAAAGTTTAGCTTTATATATTACTTATATGATATCTAATGCTTATACATAACCCTAAGGGCTATTTATATCATCAGCCTTTATATAAAATCAAAGTTTTGTCCCAACACAAACTTTTATATATGGTTGGCCACACGGTGTGCTCAGCTACAATTTTATTTTATTTTCCCACTTCTACTGTATTTCCCCTTCCTTTTGCTGGCTTTCTCTCTCCTACCTTACAACAATGGCAGCAAAACACCTCCACTCTTCTTCTTCATCTTCCCTAATCATCATTTTCAGCGAAATTCTTCAAGATAGAATGGAATCGTAACTGGCCTTTTTTAGTCGGTTTCGCCGTCATCGGCACCATCATCACCAAATTATTTCTTGGTCTTATTGGTATTTTAATTTTCTCTCTCCTATCATCATCTCGGTCTTCCCTAATTCGCCAATTTGATTGCAGTGATGATCGATTTTGATTTTATCATCATCTCATTGATTTTAGTTTGATTTTTTTTTGTAGAGTATTTTGATTTTATCATTATCTCATTGATTTTAGTTTGTTGTTTTGGCGAAGGAGTAAGCGAAGAACTCGCCATTTGTTCAGAGGCACAAAAAGTAGGCAATCATCAAATCCTAGATCTATAATCTCTACATTAGTAGACGTCATATGCTTCATGCACCAAGTGAATTTCTCTATTTGAAAAAGAAGACGAAGTAAAGGGTTTACTTGGTCACTGGTTGTTCATAGGTTAATCGGTCGGTTAGGGGTTACTTGGTTGGTTATGGGTTATCTAGTCGGTTAGGGGTTATCTAGTCGGTTAGGGGTTACTAGGTCGGTTAAGGGTTACTTAGTCAGTTAGGGGTTATTTAGTCGGGGGTTTCTTAGTCGATCAGGGGTTACTTAGTTAGGAGTTATTAGATCATGGGGTTACTTAAGGGGTTACTTGGGGATACTTAAGGGGTTACTTGGGGATACTTAAGTGGGGTTACTTGAGGAGTTGTTAGAGTGGTTATTTAAGTGGGGTTACTTGGGAGTTACTCGAGGGGTTACTAATGGGGCACCCTACCGTACCGTGCGGCTGGCCGCACCAGAAACGCACTGTTGTCCCAAAATACAAATATCCAAAACCCCACTCCAGACAATTGCGTGGCACTGATTTATTTTTATTTTTCTGCAAATCTCTTACAAATCAATTATTATTATTCCCCATTTTATTTTAATTTTACGTAATTATTATTCTAAGCTCTTAAATACTCCCATTCAAGGATAATTTAGGAAGTATAATAATAAAGGTAAAAGTAAGGGTATTAATAGTCTTTACATACTATTCAAAAATAGAAACAAGATCAATATTTTGGATTTTTAAAATAGAAAATAGGAACTATATTATGGGATGGAGGGAGTGTATAAGGGCCTGTTCTCTTACGTTGAAATTTAGTTCAGTTCAGCTCAGCTCAGTTCAGTTCAGTTCAGCTTTAATTCAGTTCCTAATTTCCTTCTCTTATAAAATATTTATTTCAGTTCAGTTCAGTTCAGTCGATGAGAACAGGCCCTAATTATACCTTGATACAAAAATTGTATTTTTTGGGAAATCAAGGGGAAATTAGTAATTGTGTCATTGAGGGCTCGTTTAGGAATAATGGACTTTTTTTTGAAGGGGTTAGGAATAATGGACTTGATTATAGTTGACTTGATCCTAATAAAGGGTATTTTCTTCATTTTAACGGTAATTATGCCAAGGCTTGGGCCAACCCAAAGTATACATATAATTTTGAATTTCGACTTTTAATAGTTTATTCTTATTACTAATGTTGGTGCGTGATAAATTATGCATTGACTAATTTACTAATCAAATAAAGACACCTATAAAAATAAGGATTTTTTGTGACTATTACCATTTACTTTACACTTTTTTAAAAAAGTACCATTTTAAGTTTTTTTTTTTTAAAAAAAAAAGAACTACCATTATTTGAAACTTTGTTTGAGTAATATCACGTACTATTTAACAATAAAAGTTGAAAAAAAATAACGTCTTGTAAAGCCCACCTGAACCAAACCCTAACCACCCATCACTCCCCCTACCTAAAACGAATGCTAACCCACTACTCCTCTGCCTATGTTGAACCCTAACCACTCACCACTCCCCCACCTAAATCAAACCCTAACCTGTGGTGGGTGGCTAGTTCGATTCAAAGGGGGGTGGGGAAGTGGTGGGTGATTAAGGTTCGATTCAGGTGGGCCCCACAAGATCGTATGTTTCTAATGGTTGTTGTGAAATAATAGTGGCACTAAAAAAAATCAATTCATGAATGTTGTTTTGGAAAAAAATATTAAATTTTTTTTGAATGGAAGAAAAAAGAACTTATTAAATGGTAATTTTTAAAATAAATGGTAGCGGTTCATAAAATAAATCCTAAAAATAAAGGGCGTAATTTCAAATACTCCATACAATTAAAAAGAACTAGTGAATTAAGGTTAAGTATTGGCGTATAGCTGCTATTTACATGGCAGTGCAAGTAAATAGCAACTATAAGACAATTAGACAAAGAGTGGTGATTTTTTTTTCTAATAGTACAAATATTGTACCACTGTAACCTATATTGGCTATAAATAGTAATACTAAAACAATTTAGACTCTAATAGTATAAAATACATATATATAATACTCCCTTCATTTTTAAATACTTTCTCCATATCTCCATGCGCGGAGTTTTAGGAGAAATTGGAGAAAGTAATAAAATATGGAGGTAGTGGGGTAGGTAGAAGAATAAAAAAATTGTAATAAGCAAACTTAGTGGAGAAAATTGGAGGAGAGAGTATATGAAAACAATTAA